CTGTGAGAAGTGGTGCTCATATTTCCAGAGACTGAGAAAAAGGTGAGCTGAAACAGCCCCCGTGTTTTACAGTAGCAGAAGAGGAGGCCCGGAGAGGTGGGACCAGAGCCAGAGGCTCGGTCGCCGCTGCCTGTTCACGCCCCGCCCACGACGGCACGTGGCCTCTGGAAGTAGCAGGTGGGGACCAGGCGTTTTTCTGAGTGGTGCTGATTTTCCGTGGATTTTTCTCCAAACGTTATTCTTCTCTCTGCTGGGACAGATCCCCATTTTGTGGGGCCTAGAGCTTATAAAACTTGGGGATCCTCCCTAGAATAAGAACAGGAGATTCTGACTGCAAGCCGGGGCCTGCAAAGGGGAGCCCTGAGACCCCGGCTTCTCTGGCCTCCGCCCCCGGGCTGCCCCCAACTCTCCTGGAAGCGCACTCCAACAGCTCTCCACTTACCTAAGCTCTGCTCGAGTCTGATCACCACTTGATTACCCTCCCTGACGAGAACCCACTTGTGCTTTAAATGCCTCCTTGACATCAACAGGCAATTTACAGTTCGGGACGGGGAGGAGAGAACGGGAGGCTATTCCTCCTGCACAGCTCCAGCGTGCGGGGACCTCCTCCCGGGGCAGCCCGTGCCCTCGCCCAGCTCGAGGGGCCAAGGCGGCAGCGATGGGAGGGAGGGGCTGACCCACAGGGTGGACGCTCAGGCTCAGGCCACGGGACCAGTGACAGAGGCCACCCTGCTGCCTTTCCTCCCCTCCCCCTCCCCTGAGCCTCGTGCAAATCCAGCTCTTAACAAGGTCTCCAGCTCGTGTCTGAATTCCAGCAAAGAATTCCCCCTGCTTCAAAAGTGAACTGGGATTCAAGCCTATAGCACTGTTCCAAAGTGTACACGCCAGCAGATGTCCTGCTTGTCCTCTACCTGGCTGTGAGACTACCTCGCCGTGAGAACAGGTCTGTGTCTGGCCACACAGCACGTCCTCCATCCACTTACCTCCGCGTGGCCGAATGGGTGGGTGGCCGAGGATGAATGAATGAACAAATGAGTGAAGGAACAAGCGAGTGAGAAGCAAGAGAGCCTCTCTGCCACATTGTCTCCTGTTTGGGCATGACACAGGTGAATAGAAGGCCTCAGGGCCATGAGTTCTGGAATCTCAAGTGCCCATAATAAAAATGAAGAGGAGAGAGTCAGAGAGAACCAAAAAGAGCATAACTGAGGATAGAAGCCCAGTGTGCTGGCTCAGGTTTCCTCTTTTCCATTTTTCTATGGGAAATTTTTTTTTTAACTGAAGTTGATCTCAGTAATCCAAACTATGATGGCTTAAAACATTGACTTCTGCAAACCAGGCACAGCTCTCCTCTCCTCCCCTCTGCACCCCTGCGGAGGTAGGGCTGGCGAGATCCGAGGGCACTGTCACTCACGAGTCCCGCCGTCAGCGCTGGCCGCCAGCTGAGACCTGCTCTGTCACGGGAACACCTCACGTGACCTCTCCGAGGGGCCAGGGTGTCCTCATGGTATGGCAGATGGAGCCACGAGTGAGCATTCCAGGCAAGCGTGAGCCAGGGCAGTGCCGCACCACCCTTCATGGCCCAGCTGCACACAGCATCACTTGTACCACATCCCGTTGGCTCAGGTGCTCAAAGGACCGCCCTGGTTCAAGGAGAAGGACGCCACCTCTTAGGGAGTGCGAAGCCCTAGAAATGCCACTGAGGCCAGTTTTGGAGAATGCAGTGTGCCACACTGAGCACTCAGTCATCTGTACCTCTACCTCGTAGAGAAAGGGCATCGATAACCACAGATGGCGTCAGGAAATACCGTGATGCCTCTTCGGAAGATGTTTCTGACGTTCTTGTCTACACCCTGCAGCCATGTCCCCGAGCCCTTCCCTGGGAGTTGGATGGCTGGACCGAGCACAGTGTTGTCGCCCACAGCCTCGCTCTCTCGAGGCCTCTGCTCATACTGACCTCGGGGAAACAGCAGATAGCCATCGTCAGGGCTCATCAGTCCTGGGAGCGTGGAACCGGGGACGGAGGTGCCGTCCTGGCTCCTCCGGCTCCAGGTGTAGCCATCTCTGCAGCAACTGCAAAGTCAGGAGCGTGTTCTCCTCTGCGCCTGGGGGAATCTGTAGCTGCACGTTCTGTCCCTAAGAAGACATGAGCTTTGACTCCCCGAAGCTCCAGCTCCTGACAGAAAGCCCAGGCAGCAGGACGTTCCCAGCGCGGCTGCCCTGCCCTCATGGTGAGGGAGGCAGCAGGCACAGAGGCAGCGGCCCAGGTGTGCACTGGGCAGGTGACTGCCTGGGAAGCACGGGCAGGAGGATCAGCCTTGCCAGCCCTGTGTCCTGGAGAACTCGTACCACACTGCAGACCTCTGCGGTCCACGCACCCGTGTTGGATTGGCCCTTGTCACTTTGAGCCCAAAGGGATTTTGTCCTACTTAATATGCCCTTAATGCTGTTTGGCAAAACTGAATAACGCTTCAGATAATTACATTGGCTTATTCAAGATACAGTGACAAGGGAGGAAAACCAGCCCAGACCCTTCTATGGGCTCAAGCTGCATGGATAAAACTTTCGATGTCTTCAAGAGAGAGGCACCCATTGGTGGCAGTGTCCCCCAAATGTATCTTTCTTTCCTGATGCTTAATGGTCCCCCAACAGGACAGGGAAGGGGAAGGAAAGATATATCTTCTACTTTTCTGAGTTAATTGTGCTTGCTCAAAATTGCAAGTTATTCATTTGTTCCAGGGCAAAGGGTTCATGCAATTAATTTAACTTAATGAAATAAGCGTTTTTTCTCTGTTTGCAAAACTCTGTTCCTAAACACCATTTGGTGCATGGCCTTTAAGCCAAGTGCCTCATTAATGTGGGGCCCTGGAAAAAAATGTTTGCAGAACAGGGACATTCATAATTAATGCTAAAATGTCAAGGTTTCTTCTGCGTGGCTCCTTGGTCTCTTATACTTAATTATCTCTTTAATGAGCAGCTAACATACAGAAAAGTAAAAATGCCAAGAAACAATGTGTCAAAGGACATTTAGGGAAAATAAACTAAAGCTGTCCCAGTTTTCTGTGGCTGGCCTTCTGGCGTGAGGGACGCTGTCTTTGTGTGTGCTGCATCTCACCATGTGATGGCATGGACAGGAACTAACCTTCGCCCCACACCAGATATTCGTCACCGCTGCACTAGACAGTCTCCAAGTTCCCTTCCAGCCATTCCGTTTCATAGTCTGCAGTGATCTTTCTTCTGCCTCCGGGTCCTCTGAACAGTGAGTTGAGCTTTGTGCAGACACTCTGGCATTTGCTGGCGGCATTGGTGGAAATAGCCGAGTCTCAGGGCCAGCCTCCATCCATATTTTCTGTCTCTTGTCCCTGTGTGTTTGAGGTCACGGCCAAGGTCAGAGCCAAGCAGTAGCATTTCCGTTAGGTCCGAGGGCAAGTCTAGAAATGAGATATAAAAAAAAGATGAGTGGCAAGGAGAAGTGACCCCCGGCCTCCTCGCCTGCCCACCTCTCCCCAAGCCTATCGGGTACGGATGACAGTGGCCTGATTTTGCACCAGAGACCCATTCGTCATCCCTCTGGCCTCCGGAGATCGCTCTGGGTTCAAAGACAAGAAACAGATGAGTTGTCTCTTCGGGGGTTTTGTTGTTATTGTTTGTTTGCTTTTGCGCAGAGCTGCTTCATTTATAAAGCCCTTGTTCAGCCAGCCGTTTTTCTGTTTTGGGTGTTCCTGAGTTGGTTGTGAATTAATGTCCTGTGGAAACTGCTGCAGGGCTCCTTCGCTGATATCTGGGGCTCTGCTCCCTCCTCCCTCTGCGCCCTGAATTCTGCTCACTCTCGGGGACTCACCGGAGCCGTCAGCCCTCTTGCTCCCAGCCCTCAGTGCAGAAGTGATTGAGCACAAGCACCCGCAAATTGTGTTGCAGATGGTGCCTATTTTTTCCAGCAGACCATCTGCCAGGGCCTATCACTCACCATTGCGCGCGGCCCAGGTGCATCCGGTGACTCTGTGGAAAGTCACTTCTGAATCACCTCATTCCAAACGCGCACCCGAACGTCACTCTCCTGGCTGCTGCAGACTCTGGAAAATTACAAGCCCTGAGGTTTGGTCCGGCTTCTTCTCTCTCCCATCACGCGCCTCAGCGACCTTTGAGCTTCGTGGGCTCTGGACACGCTGCTGAGGACGTGGGCAGGATGCCGAGGTGGGGGGGGGGCTCCGGGGGCCCCTGTGCCCCTCGCTCCACAGACAGCAGGGCTGGGGACACAGACCTAGGCTTCCCTGAGCACTGGTTTCCAGCCGCGGGGGCGCCTGGGGGGCGGCGGTCAGACCAATGCAGGCTTCGTATCTCCTGAGGCTCCTCTGTGCCGGGTGGAGCTGGGCACAGGCCCTGTGCCACACTGGGCGGGCAGCCTGGAGGGTCGGGCCCTGCAGGACAGGGAGAAGGCACTTAGTGAAGAGCATGGTGCGGGCAAGTGCGGCTCTGGCTGCCAACCGGGCGGAGTGTGAGCAGCAGGGCCACAGCTGCTGACCTTGTCCTCCCCCTCCCGAGCTGTGAGGGTGACCTCCCTGAGCAGTGTTGCAGTCTGTCTGGTTCTCTGCTGTGTCGTACACGCTCGTTTTGTTTTGTCGCTGTGTTCTCAGGTCAGTCACACCATACAGGCCCCTGTATAAGAAGGAGTCCCTTGACCTGAGAGCTGTTTCGCAAGGAGGTGGGTGCTCAGGCTCCCATACTCTGACTGGTCGCACTGGGAAGTGTCTTCTATTGACGTGTTAAAAACATAGTAGAATTTTTTTTTTTTTTCTGGAATAGATACCAGGTTCTACACCTATAGTTGAAACTCTGATTAGCCAAGACGGAATCCTGGGTGCTTCTGGTTGAAGCGTGTTTCTGTTTCAGGACTTAAGATGGGCCCGTCGCGTTTCCTGCCACACGTAGTGAAATTGCCGCGCAGCCTCGGTTTCCACCCCACGTGCTGCCGCTTCACGCCTCTCTGCTCTCTCTTCCCCCAGAGGAGATCCTGAAGACCCACATCGCGCACTGGTGGTCCCCGGATGGCACCAGGCTCGCCTACGCCACCATCAACGATTCCCGCGTCCCTGTCATGGAGCTCCCGACCTACACCGGCTCCCTCTACCCCACCGTGAGGCCCTACCACTACCCCAAGGTATGCGGGGGAACCGCGGGCCGCACGCTTCCCGTGATGCGCGAGCCCCCGGCCGAGTCAGCACGGAGATTCGGAGTGAGACGTGTTTATGGGCAAAGGCAGCTCACGGGGGAAAGATTAATCATTTCTCATTACGTCGCATTACATTCCCATCTCTGTTGAGTTGAATCGGTTGGCCGGTTTGCTTTATTTTAAATAATTGAACTACTGTTAATCATTTGTCTGAGCTTCACTAAACCAAAACAAATACACCGCCTCACCTGGTGACTCCCTGGTGACAGAAACTCAAACTGCCCACTGTGGCTCTTCATATTGCTTTTTTGAATTTGGCTTCCAGGAGGTCAGAGGGACTCTCTGCCCCGGTCCCCTGGGTCTGGGCATGGCTGTTTTGGGCTTGGTCATTAAAACGATCTGAATGTCTGTGTCCTCCCCGAATCGAGACATTAAAATCCCAACCCCCGAGGCGATGGCATTAGGAGGTGATCAGGCCACGGGGGCAGAGGCCTCATGATTGGGATCAGTGTCCTTATAAAAGAGACCCCGGAGGGACCCCTCCCACTTCCGCCACGTGAGGACACAGGAGCAGGCGCCCTCCCTAGACACAGGGTCTGCCAGCGCCTCAATGTTGGGCACACAGCCCCCGGAACCGTGACAGACGCGCTGTGCTGTCTGTGAGCTGCCCGGCCAGGGCACTTTGTTATAGCAGCCTGCACAGACTAAGACGGCCACGCTCCCACCCCAAGAGCCGGCAAACACAAGCGCCCAGTAGAGTGAGGGGACAGAGACATCCGAACCTCCCTTTGTTATAGCAGCCTGCACAGACTAAGACGGCCACGCTCCCACCCCAAGAGCCGGCAAACACAAGCGCCCAGTAGAGTGAGGGGGCAGAGACATCTGAACCTCACTTTGTTGCCAAATCACAGCACCCCGGTGGGAGGGAGGGCCAGATGCCAAACCCCCACAGCCCGCTCAGGTGCAGATGTCTGAGTGTGGACCCAGCTCTCCTGGGCACGTGGGGCTGACTCCTTCCCTCTAGTCGGCTCCAAGGCCACTGGGCTGGGTGGAGGTGAGTGGCTCACTGCCTGGCCCCTGCCTTGTGACTGGGGCTCACTTCCCACCCCTCTAGCCTCTGCCAGAGAGTGTCTGAACCTCAGCATCCTCACCTGCCAGAGAGCTCTGGAAGCTGGTGGTGCGTGCGTTCCACACCACAGGCGCTACCTAGACCCACCAGCCTAGAGTTGGGAGCAAGAGGGGTGATAACGTGTATGTGAGATAAAGGGGGTTCCCAGAGTCACAGGCCAGAGAAAGGAAACTCCTGGCATCTCAGCCACTCAGGCCACCACCACAAAATGCCAGACCTGGCTGGTTTAAACAGCAGGAGTTTATTCCTCACAGTTCTGGAGGCGGGAGTCCCAGGTCAGGATGGGGGACAGTCAGGCGTCTGGGGAGGGCTGTCTGTCTGGCTTGCAGACAGCCGTCTGCTCACTGTGTCCTCATAGGAAGGGCCAGAGAGAGCTCTGGTGTCCCTTCCTCTCCCTTTATGGACACTAATCTCATCCCCGGGGGCACCACCCTCATGACCTTATCTAACCCTAATCACCTCCCAAAGGCTCCACCCCCAGATTCCATCACATTAGGGGTCAGGGCTTCAGTCTATGAATTTGAAGGGACACATTCAGTCCATAGCACCTGGTAATAAGACTGTTTGTCAAAAGCTCTTTGATCAGAGTGGCCGATATCGAAGCGAGCCCCAGAATGCAGGGCACCATGCCCCCGTGGCCACAGCCTTCACCTCTGCCGTCTCCCCGTCTGAATGTATCTATCTGGATGTTAACTCAACATGGGTTTGCTGTCGAGAGGGTTCTTTCACTCCGTTTTCTGGCTAATGTTGATTGGACTTAACTCTGTGTCATGTGCAGGGTGCAGGGTGTTAGTTGGAAGCACAGTTAATAGAGTAGAGGGCTGGGCGGGTGCTGAATCCTCCTGGCCCTTCTGCGTGTGCCCCTCACACCAACACCCGCCCCCAGAACAGCCATGTCTGACTTGCTCTGCCCCCCCGAGATGGAATGGTTTCCCCAGTCTAGGAGTGGTGACCTGAAATCCAGGAGGACCATCCCTTGCTTTTACAGTGAACTCTGGGACAGGTGCTCTGGAGCTTGGATTCTGAAACCCCAGCTTGCTCAGGATTTAGGGGTTCGAGTTTCAGCAGGAAATCAGCATATTCTGGCCAGCAGAACTCAGATGCTCTCTGCCCTGTTGCCACACACTCCAGACCAGAGCCATGCGGGTGAACTGGCCCCACACAGGCCCCGTCCTGGGCTGCTTTGCTGTGACCCCCAAACATCTTCTGCAAGATGTGGAGGGACCGAGGGCATCAGACCAGACCCGGGGGTCGCCCGGCGAGGAATTGCCACTCTCTCCCTAGCCCCTGCCAGGCCAGGACTCGTCCCCCAGAGAGGGGAGCGGAACAGAGCCGGCTCCTTTGGGAAGGACGGAGACTTCCCCAGCTGAGCCGTGGGCCCAGCTCCCTGCCCTCGCCCGCCCCCCTGCTGTCTCCCTGCCCTGAATTGCTTCCGTCTTTGCTCTCCCCCTCCTCAGTCTGTCTTCTCTTTCCCCTCCCATGGTGGTGAAGCAAGTGGCCAGTCCCGCCCAGCGCTGGCAGGCTGGGAAGGTGGGCGGAATGGGAAGGGGGTGGGATTCCTGGGGACGAAAAGGAGTGGCCCATCGGCCCTTTGTCGTTTTTGAAACTCTGCAGGTGCACGATCTGCCCTCAACAAAGATCTTGCGCCTTCCCACGGAGCTCCAGGATTCCTGGGGTCCCGACCCTCCCGGGAAAGCCTTGCAGAGCCGAGGGGCTGCCCAGGCACGAGGCCGCTGACTCACAGCTCTGTCCCCTTTCGACCCCCAGGCTGGCTGTGAAAACCCCAGTATCTCCCTGCACGTCATCGGCTTGAACGGACCCACCCACGACCTGGAGATGATGCCACCCGACGATCCGCGGATGAGGTTCGCTCCCTCCTTCTGTTGTGTCGCGGCACAGAACATGCGGACGGGCCTCCGTGCACGTGGCCCTTCTGGGCCAGACATGCTTTATGGCCAATTTAAGCATCCAAGAAAGACATACATGGTCTGAAGTTTTCCTCGCTGCTTTGCGATTCGGTTTTCTAGCAGAAGTCCTGCGATTTCTTACCGCCGTCCCCCCCAGTGCTGGGCTCCCCGGGAGGGGCGTGGGGTCAGCCACACGTCTCGGTGGGGACTCTGTCCTGCACAGGGCAGACCCTGGACAGAGACTCCGGTGAGCTGAGGTGTCTTCCCAGGAAGGGATCCACGGGCCTTCTTTACCTTTCGTAAACGGTGCCCCATGTTTAGCGCGTGACTTCAGAGCACAGTGTAACTCGCCGGTGGTGATTCCTGTTCTAATGCGGGCATATCTCCCGGGTGGTAACGGCCATGTCATTGGTGGAACATGCGAACAATATTGTTGGCCTGTTGTTATTAATTTATTATCTAGTTTTGGTGGATTTTTTCTATATCAAGACAACTAAGTAGGATCCAAGTGAAGTGGTCCGACCATCAGTTTAGGATTGTCCCCAAATTCAGGCAGTCCAGTGATACCGTGGTCAAACCTCTCTGTTGGGAATATTGGTGAGGAGGGACTGTGATGGTGGGGACCCAGTCACTCACGGAGCCCTGACTCTGTGAACGGGGCTGATTCATCCCGAGGTGCGGCAGATACCCAGGCAAACCCCGGCAGACCTCTCGCCCAGGTCCTTACTGTTCAGTTACAGACCCCACGTTGTCAGTGGCTCCTGCAGCTTCTGGAAGGGCAGGAGCCACGGCCTCAGGTCCGGCTCAGGGATGGCTGCTCCTGCACCTGCACCTGCTGACTCTAGTCCTCTCTGAACAACATGCTCTTCATCTGCAGTGGCTTCCACTGCTGTCCTTGTCCCACACCCCAGCACCTGCACAAAGCCTGAGGCCTCTGAAGAATTCTACTGAGGTTCTTTCAGCTCCTGGTCCTTCAGTGAAACCAGAATGCCTTGAGGTCCTTGGGTGAACAGCCACAGCACAGACGTCCAGGGCTCTCTAAAGGGCAAGGAGCCGCCTGCCCCTCCCGGCCCCACACTCGTCCTCTCCCGTGTGGGAGGGCAGATTCTCCCCAGAGGGTTCCTGAACCTGGCCCCCGAGCAGCTGGTCCTGGAGCCGACCCTCCCCCCTGCCCCGCCCCGACCTACCCTGGGGGCAGCGGCCACAGCACCTGCTGCTTAGGGGACTTGAATTGATTTGGCTGAGGATATGTTTGCTGAGATGTAAAAAAAAAAAAAAAAAAAGTTGAAGATTATTGCTTTGGCTTCTCTCCTGAAGATCCATATATTTCATTATTTTCCCTTCGGCCCCCATCCCTGCCAAGCCTCCTGGGGCCTGGTCCAGCAAACTCACCGAATTAATGTGGAAAGTCACCTGGAAAATTTCAGCCATCTGTTTGAGTTAATTGAAAATCTCGTTTAGTCAATTTGGTGATGCTGTTTCTGCAGGCTTGATTAGCTCCAAGGACAATGAAAAATTAGCCTCAGTCGGGACTGAGTTTGGATGCTGGGTTTAGGTTTCCGGCCTGCTCTGATTTCCTGCACTAAATGCATTTTCTGTGCAGTATAACTCCGTAGTGTGTAAACATTACACTCTCTCACACTGCTGCTCTGACACGCAGCCTTGAGACCTTTTTTTTTTTTAAGTGAGCACAGCTAGGTCAGAAATCAGGGACTCGACGTGGAGCAGAAATCAGTATTGCCCACCGTAGACAGAGCGCTGAGAGTCAGGCACAGGTCGGGCCCAGTCCGCGGGAGGGGTGTCTGCTGCAGGTGGAGTTTGTAGCCTACCGATGATCACAGGAGCCAGCCCGAGGCTCTGTGCATTCTCTCTCTTAATTTTCACAGCTGCCCATGAGAGTACACGGTCTTATTACTAATATTTATCTCTGTTTTACAGATGATGAAATGGAGCTTACAGTGGGGAGGGGAGACAGACCCCGGACAGACTGTTACCTGCAGGCATGGAAGGGCCACGGGGGAGCATGGGAAAAGAGGCCCACCTGGTCTGGAGGTGGCAGTGCCACAGACTAGGTCTGACCTTCTCAGCCTCCGCGCTGTAGACACTTGGGGAGGTGCTGTCCCGTGCTTCACAGGGTGCTCGTAGCATCCCCGGCCTCTGCCCACTAGACGCCAGCGACATCCTCCCTCACCCCCAGATGTGATGATCAAAAATGTCTGCAGCTGTCACCAAATGTCCCCAGACTGAAAACTACCGGTTTAGAGTGAAGGTTCCCTAACCGACTGCCTGGGTTCAAACTCTGGCATATTCTGGCCAGCAGAACTCAGATGCTCTCTGTCCTGTTGCCACGCACTCCAGACCAGAGCCATGCGGGTGAACTGGCCCCACACAGGCCCCGTCCTGGGGCTGCTTGTGATCTCCTGGGGCTCTGTGATTTTGGCAGTTATTCAGCCTCACCTGATTCAGTTTCCTCATCTGTAAAACGGAGATAAATATTAGTAATAAGACTGTACACTCTCATGGGCAGCTGCGAAAATTAAGAGAGAGAATGCAGAGAGCCTCGGGCTGGCTCCTGTGATCATTGGTAGGCTGCAAACTCCGCCTGCAGCAGACACCCCTCCCCGGGGACTGGGCCTGACCTGTGCCGGGCTCCAGGTGCTCCTGGCCGACTGCCTGCCAGCATCTCCACTGGGGCGTGCTCAGCAACACAGAATTTTTAAACTGGTGAAATTGTGATCCTCAGGCAAAGTAAATAAACATGCATTAAGGATTTTATTAACTCGTTAGTTAGTAAGGGAACCAACCAGTGGGTTGTTAAAACCAGCCCAAAGGGCAATTGAGAAGCTACATGTATATAGACAGTTTAGTAAAGAAATGCAAGGAGAAGTTTGTGGGTTACAGACCCAGTGGAGCCACAAACCATTTAATCTTTGGAGGTTTCTGATCCACCAGACAAAAGTCCACAAGAGAAGCTAAAAACTGCCCAGCCCAGCATTGCGCAGGGAAAATCTCCAGAGATCTTGTTGGCCCCTTCCAACCTTGGGACAGATTTTCCGATGTCTCAGTGACACATCAGATGGATGTAGTCAAAGCAGAGTTCCCACTCTCTGTGTCCACACCCCTTCCCCGAAGTCTCCCCACCCCTCGCCCCTGCCATCACTGTCCAGGGCGACTCCACCTTCCAGGGGCTCAGGCCTCCTTTCATGTCCCTCTTTGTTGGGACCATCCTCGGCAGGTGCCAGCATCGGCCCGTGCTGCCCTGCTCCTCTCGCTCCTGGCTGGCCCACTGGCACCGCCCCAGACACCCCCACGTAGTGGCCAGACCAGCGTCGGACCAGCAGCCTCTGCTCCCTCTGTCCAGCAGCTTCCTTCTCCCCTCTGAGTAAAAGCCAGACCTTCCCCAGCAGCCTGTGAGGCCACCTTCCATCCCTCCACGCCCGCCCCTTCTAGGGTCTGCACACGGCCTCCTGTCCCTGCTTTGGTTTTCTTATTTTCTTCAAAGGACTTGCCTATCCCAGGGAGACTTTCTAGCCACTTTATTTAATTGTTTCCTTTCTGCCACCACTGGGAATCGGACATTCCTGAGGCCGGGACGTCAGTCCATTTGGCGCAGGTCCCAGCTCGAGTTCTGCAACAGGGCTCAGCAAGCCTTTGTTGGATGAATACATTAACTTAAAAATTAGCTGGTAAGTTCTTATTTCAATATGATTCTTGAAGATGGAGATGTCTTCTGTTGTCCTGGTACCATTCTAAGAACCAAAACTTTAAAAATCTTTAGTCATTGATGACACCCTGTCATTCGAAGTGTAGAATGCTGAGGGAGCTAAGCTAGAAAAGGTACAATAAGACACCTGCTTTATGGAGGGACATAAAAGGAATGGGACCTCAGTAATGCCCCCCAAACCTAGGTGGGGATTTCTGCAAGTCCCCAGCTCGGGGACAGTGAAGGGGACGGAGTAAACCATTCCTCCATATCAACTATCTGGTTCCTATGTGTCTTTGGTTTCCTCTGTGTCTGCTCATTAACCAGCCTGACTTCCCCTGCCATGTTCTCGGAGACGGGGAGACTTAAGTCCCCACGGCAGGCACTTACCTGCCACCTCTGCGTGCCATGCACTGTGCTGGGCCCTGGGGGATTAATATCGGCAGCTCTCACATCAGAAAGCTCCGAGCCCAGAAAGCCTGGCCAGCTCGAGCCGGGGCCACCGTGCTGTGCAGTGGGAGCCACACCTGCAGCAAAGGTGCCCATTACGGGGTGAGCGGGAAGTTCTCAGAATGGCTTCACAGACGCCACCGGGTCCCAGGGCAAAGTTGGAGGCCCTCCTGGGGAACGGCTGGGGTGAGAGAGCGGCAGGTGCTGACCCAGTGCAGAGCTCAGCTGCCTGCTGGCGGAGGTGGGGCAAGGACGCCTTCCAAAGCACAAGCCCAACCTCTCCTGTGGGTGGAAAAAGTGAGTGGAAGTCACTGTGCCCACCTGGCCTGTGGTTTCTGCAGCTTTGCATAGCAACCTGGCCACACCGATAAAACAAATGCAGTTGATTTTGTTGCTTTCCTCAGGCCTTTCCAGAGCTATTGAGCCGGGTGTTGAATTAAGATACAGCAGATAGCTGGCAGTGTCATTGCAAAGACACTGCACTGCGCTGATATGTGCTTTTGTTCTCCACATGCCCTCCCTGCTTGTCTGGCAACGACAGGTTGTAGGCAACTTGCAGGGCCTGAGACAGATCCCTGCCGCCCCCGAGCCCAGGGGGCTGGGCTCATCCTGCCCGCCACCCACCTCTGTGGCCCGAGACAGGCCCACAGCCCTTTCCCTTTTGTTTTATTTTACTTTGGTTTATTTTATTTTACTTTTTTGATTTAAGTACTGAGGAATTAGAAGCTGCTCAGACCCCCGCTGTGCCATCACAGGTCCGTGTGGCCACTCTCCCTTCATCGAGTGGTTCTTTTTCAACCTTGCT